AATATCATGCATACCTAGTGAAAACAAAACTTGGAGAGCATGAAGAGTTTGTGGTGAAGTTAAATTTGCAAACATACAAAGGTATGTGTGAATGCCAAAATTTTGAGTTCGTTGGAATACTTTGTCGACATTTATTGAAAGTATTTGTCCGCCTTGATATAGATACACTACCTGACCATTTTATTCTTCCAAGATGGAGACAAGAAGCAAACAAATTTAGGATAATGGATTTTAAAATTTTGGTGACAAATGATGGTAAAGAAGAATCAGAGGCTTTGCGACTTAGCCATATGTGTCATCAAGCAACAAAGTTGGCTTGCATTGCAGCATCTTCAAATGAGGCATACACAACTTTCATGGAAGCTATAAAGGAATTGTCCAAGAAACTGTCAGAAAATTCTACTCAACATGCAACAATTCCTTCCTCAACAACAGGTGATCCATGTAGTACTAATATTGATTCCTCTCAATTGTTGCTTTTGGACCCCAATATCTCACAAACTAAGGGTAGAAAGAAGGATAATATTAGCGGTTCCAAAAGGATAAAAAGTGGAATTGAGTTGGCTCAAAACAAGAAGAAAAGAAAGTGTGCATTATGCAAAAAGATAGCACAACATGACAAAAGAAATTGTCCATCAAATCTGAAAAGAAGAAAGAATGAATCAACAAATCCATGTAAGTTTGTGCACTTTTTATTGTTGCTATTTCTAATAATAAGGTTTAAAAAGCTTATGTTTAACTTGATTATTATAAATCTAAATTCAGGCAATGAAGAGTTAGAAGACTTGTGCCAAGATGTGGAGAGTGATGACTAAGAATATTGTTAATGGTGAGTTGTTTTTAATTTATAGCTTTGATCAATGAAGTATTTCACGGAATAAATTATCTGTTAAATAAGTATGGTTTGAATGAAAACATAGGTTAAAGTTTTTAACTTGTCCCTTGTATGATTATTTTTTTCTTCCCAGCTCCAAAGTTTCAGTAGATATCAATGTTTCATACTTGAATTCTGCTTACTATGGTGAGGAGGTTGAAGTTTAGGCCAAGGCTTTACGAGTTGGGAAGGCTGTTGGTGTTGCCAGTGTTGAGTTAAGGAAGAAGAAGACATGCAAAATTATAGCTTAGGGCTGTCATACCAAGTATCTTACTCTCACTAGCAAACTTTGAACAGCTTGGAAGTTGAAATTTTCCTCAAACTTGTATGGAATATTAAGAAGCCTTTTTTGCTTAGACTTGTGTAAAATATTGAGAAGCTTTTTGGTGTTGTCTGTATTGAATTTAGGAAGAAGAAAACAGGGGAAACATTGTTGTCAACTGGTGCTTCTCTCTACACTCAATTTCTTATGCTTCTGGCTTCTTAAAAACTTTAGTTGGTGCTTCTTTCATACCCTTGATTGCAGCAACCAAAGAGACTCCGCCAACAAGAAAGGCTGGAAATTTCCTGCAAATGGTGAACACAATAATGATGGATGCTCTGTTACAGGCTTACAGCAAAATAATAACACAACTCTCTTCAAAAGACCTTATAGAATGACTTGCTCGGTGTCACACAACTGTGCACTCTATTGATGAATATCCCAAAATAGAGTGCTTTTTCAGCTCTCTAATTTCCTTCTCCATCTGTAAAAATGTGGCATGCCATGTGTTGGTTTAAATGCATTGGATCCAACACTTTCTTAAGTGTGAACTTTGAACCAACAATTCAGCGTTCCCATTTACAAATTTTGCTCATGGTTATAGTTCGAAGACACATACAAACAATGCTCAATAGCATCTCTCCTCGGACTGATACCAATTTGAAAAAGTTGTCAAAAACCATAAGATTCAATTGCTTAACTTATAGATCGGAACATGATACAATTGATTAATGAAAAAAAAAATCTAAATCAAGATAATTGAGTTGACTATTTGAGTCATAATTCATCAAAATTGTATTTGTCATCGTAATTCTACCCATTAAATCCGTCATTTGCAACATTTGTCATCTTGGCCTTGTCTGGCTCTAACCTCTTCACTGTATCCATTACTGTCATGCTCAAACTCTTCATCACGACTTTTCTTCTCATTTGACTGTTGCATATCACCATGACTGCCACATTTAGACTTTGTGCCTTCTTCAAATACAGGTGCATAACCCTGATTTTACATGCTATTCGATTTGTTTGGCTTTTAGTTGCTTGTAGTCTGTGCATCAGTTAACGAGACCTAAGATGTTGACAGAACATAATATGAGATTTGCATAGCATGAATAAAGCAAGATTGATTCTGAAATAAGAGATATAAAAGATGCTTACAAGCTCTTCATTTAGTTTATCCAAAGCATCATACTTGGTTTTTGAACTCAACCTCTGCAAGAACAAAATGTCACATTAGCAATAGAATTCTCAATCACCAGCAACCAGAAATAGATATTTAAGCATATCATTGAGCATACACACTAAGCTAGCCTCCGAAACAATATTGAAAAATATCAAAATTTACAAGCATACTAGCTGAGAGCCAATAGAAGCTGAAGGAAACTATCAGTCCAATAACTGCAAGCATAAAATTTCTCAGCTTTGACCAGTTGAGTTTAAAATAAGAGATATAAAAGATGCTTACAAGCTCTTCATTTAATTTATCCAAAGCATCATACTTGATTTTTGTTTTTTGAACTCAGCCTCTGCAAGAACAAAATGTCACATTAGTTTCTGTTAAATAAATTATAAGTAGCACAAACTAAAAATTAAGCACCAAAAAACCCGTAAACCAGTTCATTAACTTACATTCTTAGTATCCATCACAGTGGAAACTTTGACATCCTTTTCTGGCCTTTTTTTTGCAAGAGCAGCTATCTTGGCCATTATGGCTCGTTTTCTATTCTTTCCCTGCCAATTTTATAGTTGCATATGGGGATTAATAAATAAGACTCAATGCTGGCAGTAAAACATACACAGATAATCAAATGCAAATAAGATTGAAGTGAAAACTTTCAACACAGTTCTGCAGAGTGGCTCCAATAACAAGTAAGAACTAGGCAAGAACTCTAATGAATGGCAAATAAGCTAGATGAGACTTCCAAGCATATGCTTCAGAGCACGATACACATATTACATTCAGCAAACATAAACTCAAATACAAGAAAAGAGGTAAGTTTTGAGAGTGACTTAAGAATCAAATATTAGCACAATCAATCAAATTAATTAGTTAACAAGTCATTAATTGAGACTTTAAATCCAAACGAAAACAAAGAAATTGTGAGAGCAAGTAAGAATTAAGTACCGAAAAGACATCCGACGGACCACATATCGACGTCGGTAGAGTAATGAGTTGAACCGAGCAGAACTTCCAGTGCTCTGTACCAGAGTAACAATCTCGTGCGTGTAACTCTTGCGAGGTACAGTGAAGGCACAGCCGAGTCCAAGATCGGTGATCTTCAAAATCCCTCTTTCCTTGTCCAGAAACGATGGCGTTACTGGAGAGGAAGGAGAGAGAGAGTCCCTGTGATTTGTGGTTTAGGTAGGGTAGGGGTTGGAGTGGTGGTGGTGTTGAGGGTGGCTTTGGGGATGAGAAGGGACAGGAGAGAGAGAGAAGAAGCAGAGGCAGAGGAGGAGGCGTCAATTCTCTGTAGAAGAAAGAGAGAGAGAGAGAGAGAATGAATGAATTAAATATAATTAATGAGATGAGAGAGAATGAATTCTTAATTATAATTTCAATATATAAATATAAATTAAAGAAAAAAAATATTGTTTTGCCATGTCAGATGTAATCTCAACCATAAAAATTGGAGTAATCTAATGGTCCAAAAATTGTGTCAAAACTTGTGTCAAAAATATGGTGCCACGATCCGCCCCCATAAAGGAATACATAAACTCATAACCCAAATGCTAACAGGGTCAATAAAGAACGAACCCATAGCCCATGGCCCGTTAGACAAAGAGCGTGCTGATACTGTTTGTGGTAAAGCACAGAGAGAAGCAAACTGAAGACGCAGTGCTTGCCGTCATTTGTTTCACTCTCTCCCTCGACATGCTTGCTTGACTCAATCGACAGTTTTTGGTGTCAAACGCTAGTAGCAGCAGCTGCAGCATCGGTTAAGGTACCACTCTCTGTTTCTCACTTCTCTGACTTTCTAGTAGAGAATTAAAATCCCAATTACATAGCCAAAATGATCATAAAGCAACTTCTCAAACGTCACCCTTACTGTAACTCTCCCTCCTATGCTTTCTTTGTTTACTTGAAGCTCTTCTCTTCAATCCCATCTACTTATTCTTGCTCTGATATTGAAACCCAACTGAGGTTTCTTTGTGATAAATCGAATCCTCAGATTTCAGAGGCCGTTTCGCTTTTTCGGGGTTCCATCGATTCTGACCGCTTGCCTTCTGGGGGAGCCTGCAATTTGCTTGTGCACACTCTCACAAGGTCGAAAAATTATGAATTGGCGTTTTCGGTTTATAGTAAGATGACCCATGTTGGTATTTTTCCGAGTTTTATATCATTGAGTTGTTTAGTTGCATGTTTTGTTAATACCAATCATGCCAAATTCGCACCTGGGGTCTTGGGATTGGTATTGAAGCGTGGATTTCAGTTAAATGTGTATGTTGTGAATCTTATGTTAAAGGGTTTGTGTTCTAATGATGAGGTTGAGAAGGCAATGGAGCTGTTTAGTGTAATGGGAAGAAATTGTGTAATCCCGGATATTGTTAGTTACAACATTCTTATACACGGGCTCTGCAAGGCAAAAAAATTGAAAGAAGCCACAGAATTGTTGGTTGATATGGAGATGGCAGATTCTGACCCAAATGTGAAGACATACAGCACTTTGATCGATGGATTTTGCAAGGATGGCAGAGTGGATGAGGCAATGGGTTTGTTGGAGGAAATGAAGCAAAAAGGTTTGGAACCGGATGTTGTTGTGTACAGTACCCTTATAAGTGGTTTTTGTGATAAAGGGAGTTTTGATAGAGGCAAAGAAATTTTCAATGAGATGCTAAAGAAGGGTATTCCTCCTAATGTGGTTACATATAGTTGTTTCATACATAACCTCTCCAGGATGGGGAACTGGAAAGAAGCCATTGCGATGTTAAATGATATGACTAAGTGCGGAGTTCGCCCTGATACTGTTACTTATACAGGCTTACTTGATGGGCTTTTCAAAAATGGAAGGGCTACAAAAGCCATGGAGCTATTCAATTTAATGTTATTGAAGGGTGAAGAGCCTAACACTGTAACATACAATGTTATGATTGATGGACTATGCAAGGAAGGGTTGGTCGATGATGCTTTTAAGATTTTGGATATGATGAAGGGTAAGGGGAAAAAGCCTGATGTAATTACATACAACACGTTACTGATGGGACTTTCTAATGATGGGAAGGTTGATGAGGCCATGAAACTTTACAGTACAATGTCAAAAGACGGGAACTTTGTTGAGCCAGATGTTATAACTTATAACATGCTAATTTTTGGACTCTGCAAGGAAGGCGATCTTGATACGGTTATGGAGATTTGTAATACAATGGTTGAAAGGGGCATTGCTTGTAACATATTTACTTATAATGCTATGATAGGTGGATGTCTACAGGAAGGATTAGTGGGCAAGGCCATAAAGTTCTGGAGACATGCACTTGACTTGGGATTTGTTCCGAACTCAATTACTTATAGTCTCATGATCAATGGATTTTGCAAAACTCATATGCTTAAGTTTGCAAAAGGACTTTTTAGCAAAATGAGAGCTTCTGGGGTTAATCCTACTTTGATTGACCACAATGTTTTGATGCTGTACTTGTGTAAGGAGGGTAGTTTGGGGCAAGCTAGGATGTTATTCGAAGAGATGAGGAGTACAAATTGTGTTCCGAATCTGGTCTCATTTAATACAATTATTGATGGAACTCTCAAAGCGGGAGATATTAAATCTGCTAAAGACTTGCTAGAGGACATGTTTAAAATGGGTTTAACTCCTGATGCAATTACCTTTTCCACATTAGTAAACCGATTTTCAAAACTTGGGCTTTTGGATGAGGCTAAAATAGTTCTTGAGAAAATGATTGCTTGTGGTCTTGAACCTGATGCCTTTGTATTTGATTCTTTACTAAAGGGCTATAGTTCAAAGGGTGAATCAGAAGAAATCATTAGTTTGCTTCATCAGATGGCAGACAAGGGTGTTATTCTTGACTCAGAAATCACTTCTACCATCTTGTCATGCCTCTGTCAAATCTCAGACGATTATGATGTGATGAAAATTCTCCCAACTTTTATTGGGTCAAGGAGTATAGCGGTAAAAAATCATCAAAATCGAAGTTAAAATAACCGT